AGATAATAAATATATTACATTTTTAAAATTTAATTATTAAGAAAAATAAATTAATGAATGTTTATTATTAGATAATAGCAGTTTGATTATTATTATTATATTATTATTATTATTACAAAATAAAATTATTTATAAGATTCTAAAGTTATTTGACTATGCTATTAAAATAATTTACTAATTGTTTTTAAAGAAATTTTTTCATGAGATACAAAAGAAAAAGATAATATTAATGTTAAAATAAATAACTTAAAACAATTGTTTATAATTATGCAATTTATATTTATTGTGAATTATTATTAGTTGGTATTAGCATTAATTATTATATATTATAATAGAAAAATACATTATTACACTCAATAAGATGCATTAATGTGAGAAGTAAAAAAATATTAATGATAAATTTTGTAACCAAAAATGGAAAGAACATTTTAGATGTTTTATTAAATAGGTTTTATTAAATGCTATTAGCTAGTAATTATATATATAAAGATAAGGGACAAAACAAAACATAACTTTTAATTTTTTTTTTGACTCGATACGTTCTCCGGGTCAAATATTCCCCCTAACTACAAAAACCGATCGCAGAAACCAGAAATTCTCCCACCGATCAACCATGATCATTCCCATCCGCCATAAGAAATTCATAATCGTCTCTCTACAAACCATATTAGTCTGAAAATCATCAGACGTTTTTTCTAAGAAACAACCCAAAAATCCACCTTAAGAAAAAATGGCATCGCTGGCTACACATTTCACGGCGTCCCTCTTCCTGTGCCCCGTCGGCATCCGCCGCCTCCTCTGCTCCGTCTCCCTCTTTCTGAAAAGCCCAGTCCTCTACAGATCACGAATTTGGTACTTCTCAGAACCCAAGTGGAAAAACTTTGATCTTTACGCGCTCCTCGTATCCCTCCCGATCGCGTCTTTTTCTAACATTTTCATTTTCCTCGCATTTTCCGAGAACCCCACCTTCAGATTCTTCTTCTTGCAGCAGTCTTTAGTTGTTTTCTCATTCTGGGCACTCTTGATTTTCATCATTCTTAGAGAAAGTTTTGGTCTTTTCTCGATTCCTGAGAATGTCGTGTTCATATTTGCTGGCATTGCCTTCATAATCGAGTCTTACTTGTCTGACAGAGGTATCATAGGCCTTGGTGGGTGGATTTACGGTATTTTGGATGGTTTGGCCGTTTTCTGTTCTGCCTGTTGCGTTTATTTATCCATTAGGCCTTCGGCTTTCTTTGCCGAGTTTTTATTATCTTCCGGCATTGTCTTGAAGGGAACTTGGGTTCTGCAAGTGGGTTTGTCTTTGTACACTGATGCATTTGGCTTCAAAGGGTGCCATAAAATTTCGGGGGAGAATCTTGGAAAAGGGGAGTTTGATGTGAAGTGTGAGCTTGAGGATGATATGTGGAGGGCATGGCTTTGATGAGTTTGATGTTTGTTTGTCATGTTATATTAGTTTTGATCACAGGATTTATGTTGGTTGGGTTTTTGACTCGTTTTACGAGCATGAGGTGTGGTGAGAGTGGCGGGCACTTGTTGTCCGAGTTGGGAAATGAGAGCATGCTCATGCATTCGCTTCCCGAGCTTGAGTTGGATTGATAGTTTCTTTTTGGTCCTTTTGGTGGAGTTTTCTTACAGACATTATAGCATTGTAAGTTTTGAGTCGTCACTGGAAATAATAATTAACAATTGTCATTTCCAATCTTTAGATCATAACTTGTATAGTATATATTGTTTTTACGATGTGTTTCTACTCCACGACTCCTTTTATTCGTTGAGATTAAGTGCATTTGATTTTTATTTATTTTTTTCATTATTGAATTATTACTTAGTCGGGTTAGGATGCTGAGTTAGAGAACTTCTCAAGCACTATATCACAATAAGAATTAAAATAAAATACAGTGCTTATTTTTTACAGAGGAATGAGGACAACTATGTAGTCCTACACTAGTTAAACAGTGTAAAAACATTAGCTTTTGGTCGAATTTTTTTCGAACCAGGCTGTGTGATGTCTGTAGCTTTGGAACAGAACTATAAATTCACCATTTAGGTCCGTCATATATAAAGTAGATGTCAATCTGAATGTGAAGTCATATGTACATATTTAAGATTCATATTTCTCATGTCGTGGTATTGGAATCAACTGCAGAAAATAGTAGTATTTCGATTTGATTCATTTGGATATCCTGCTTGATGTGGATTTAGAAGTATATCAGGCCTTATATACTTCTTTCGCATTCCTGTTTAGTCATGGAAATTGATAAACTCAGAACCACTTCTCTACACGTGTACCTGATTTTTTTACAACGTTCTTACCAGAAAATTGTGTAAAACTCATATGTTGTTACTTGGTAAACCTGATGTGTAGATTTTAACTTGTGGCCGAAAGTTAGATTTCATTCTCATTTTTTCTCTGAATTCATTTCTTTGAAGATGTTTTCGATTACCATTCAAGTTAAATGCATCCTGGATCCTCCCATTACTGCCTGTCTGATACAATATAAGTAAAATAGAGGAGTATTTAAATCAACTGGTTTATTGTTACATTAAGGTGAAAAATATCCCCTTGTTCTCAGAAAGAATATTTTAATCGGGTCAATAAAATAGTTGTGCACGTTAAGCTTATTTACTTCTTTAGCTTCTAGCTTATATATAATTCAATCTTTTTTGGGTTTGCAGCTCAGATGAAGAAGCTACAGATTCTTGATGTAGTGACCACATTTGTTAGACTAATTTTTCCAGTACATTTAAGATTTTCTGAATTATCACACGTTATAATTTTCTCCCACTGAGTCATGGTTCATAAAATTTCTGTGCATCGAACATATTTTGTATTATAAAACCGTACTTCTCATAATTTCACTTTTCACAGAGACATCGATGCAAGTTCTTCACTTTCAAATTCGATACATTTCAAAGATTACAAAACAAACCCAAATCACTACCCTTCACGAACAAAAAAAGTTTGCTCATTTTTCACATGCAATCAAGAATCTGACAAAACACAAGCCACAACAAACACCCCACCTCTCAGAATACAAACTCAAGAGAAAAGGAAAAAAGAGACAATATAAACATGAGATTGGCATCAAACTTTACATGTTCCAACCCGAGAAACTTGCATCAACTGAAATCGTTCGTTCTGAAAATCGAGCAGCATTCAAACCTCCCATTTTCTTGATGAAATTCAATGAATCGGGATTAGGCCTCGTGCCCAAGAACTTTTCTTCATCTTGTTTCGGATTCAAATTCTCCTTTTGAAACTTCATGAGCCCATTTTTCGCTTTACCTTTAACCTTTTTCCATTGTGCGAGATTTTCAACTGGATTAAGCACAGAGCACGAATCTAAAGGATTTAACTCCCAATCGAAATTTTCTTGGCTTTCGATTCCATCATCACTTTCTTCGCTAGAAACATCATCCGACTCGTGCTCACTATCCTCAAATTCGTCCGAATATAAATCTTTTTCGCCCAATGTGAGCTCTTCATCATCATAGCTGTCTGTGCAGTTTTGGTATCTGTAGTTTTCCGTGACTGAATTTGAATAATCCTCTCCATATTGTAAGCTGGCGAAGCTTTTTAATTGGACTTCATTGAATTCCCATTTTGTCTCCTCTTCACCCTCCGAGAGGTAATCAATGGCGTCATCTTCTTTTGGAATTGGTTCGTAAGCTTTCACGTTTAGATTAAAGGTGACTTTCTTTTTTATTTTCGATTTTGTTGGCTCTTTCGGCTTCTCCCTACAAATTGAAAATTTCAGACTGCTGGATAAATATTAGTGTTAACAAAAACTGAAAAAATGCTCTCTCGCTAAGTCAAATGCAGGAAAATAAAATAAAATAAAATAAAATGCAGTGGCTTACTTGAGATGATAGGAATTTGAACTGACATTGATAATTTCTTTCGTATCAACTTCGTTTGGGACATTAGAATCAAGAGGTACATAACTTCCAGGGTTCTAAAAAACATGCAAGAAAAAGTTATACACGCATTTATGATAATATCGATGACATTAAAGTTTGAAAATTCGAAATTCTATATGATTCTAACGGAGAGAATATGCATTGAGAAGCTGTTACTTGTTCTTCAGATGGGCATTTATTGGCGGGTCTTTTGGTATATTTCCTCTTTTTGAATCCAAAACAACCCAGAAAGCATCCCATTTGAAGCCAGGTGGAAGAATTTTCCTGTTCTTGGCTTAGCCTGAGTTTAGTAGTATGTAACAATGTGTTGTTTGATCTTAGAGAGTAAAAAGGAGTGGGTTTTGGTTATAGAGCATTTGTGTTGCCTCCAATGGGTTTCGAAAATAATGACGTTGTAAAAGCAAAATGTGGTTGTAATAATAAATGCGGGACAGAGGTGGGGGCACACAAGTTTTAGCAAGCTTGTAATAAAGACGACTCGACACAAAATTCGCTTTGTATTTTGGATTTACATTTTGGAACATTGAGTTTTAGGATCCCACATTCTTTTTTATTATTATTATTATTATTATTATTATTATTATTATCATTATTTAATAAAATGTAATAATATATTAGCATTTGATAAGTCAACATGTGCATAAATCTTGACAAGCTTACAAAATATCAAAATTTCATACCTTATATACTGTAACAGATTATTCACAAACGCCAATTCACTCTAATATCTGAGTACTAATATAAATCCCATATTATTTTTTAAAAAAATATTTTCACTGTAATGTCTAATCACTAATGTTTGTAAGATTGTAATATTATTAACACGTTTAGATACTTTCAAACATTATTTGGACAATTTTTTTACACATTCTCAGAAAAAAATTGTAGGTGATTTCACACATTTTTCAAGGATAATATAGAATGTATTAGATATTTTTTACATATGTATATAATATTTAGGTATTTTTAATATATATATAGAATAAGATTTATCACATTTAGAAAGGATTTCATGCAAATATATATATATATATATATATATATATATATATAATACAAATGTTAACAAATTAAATACAATCTTCAATTTTTCGTCTCTAATCTCAGTTACCTATTTATTTGTTATATAATATTTCGCATTAATCCCGATATGATATAAAATCCCATTTAATTTGTTATATAATATTTCACATACTCTCGATTTTTATTTGTAAAACTGATAAATAAAACGTGTGCATAAAGCATATAACTGTTAAAGAATTCTTTTTACGGTAGCTAACTCTTAAAAAAAAAACTTCTTTTTTTGAAATCTCAATTTTTCACATGTTTATTCTATATATACTATGTAAATCTTCTCTAACTATGTAAATCTTCTCTAACAAACTTTAGCGTGAAATAGGCTTATAATATTTTAGATCATATTGTTTAGATAATTTTTTTACACATTCTATCTATATATACATATATGTATACACATATAAATATACAGATTAAATATTTTTAGCCATTTGTCTTTTTTAACAAAATAGTTTAAAAGATTTCATGTGACTTCACATCTTTGTATGGATTGAGTATAGATTTTAGGTGACTCTACAAAATAGATTTTGAGCATGAATGGGGGTATAGATTGAACTTATTTGTATCCAAATACACCATTAGTTTACTACGTTGTAGTTTGTAAGTGCGTTTAGTTTAGTTGATTCTAGGTTACACATTCTCATTGTGTATGTCTCTCTCTAATTTTAGCCGTTTAGATGTTTTAGGGTGTGTTTGCATATAAAATATCTCAATCTTTACCAAATTCATACTCAAAATTAATTCAACCCTAACTTAATCTCACTATCCTTAATATTATCAATATAATTAAATAATATCAACCAATCATTTTACACATTATATCAACTTTACTTTACTATTCATCTACTTGCATAATTTTAACTAACTATCACTTCATATCATCTCTCCTATTTTTATATCAAAATCAACTTTAATTATTTTATTTTAGATATTATTTTAATATAAAATCAAAATCCCACTAACAACTAATCATACTATTTTTTTTTTTCAAAATTAACTATGATTAACAAAACAAACTCATTTTTTTTAACGATAGATATTATAACTCATAAAAGAGAAACTACAAACCGGCAGACTAACTAGTCCGAATATTTAGTCTAAGAAGACAACCAACACACCATAAGGTGGATAACAAATCAAAAGGAAACGAAAATGAAGTTCAAACATTGGCAGTCTTCAGAGGGATGAGTCCAAAAGTTTGAAGCTTCATTTTCGAGCCTAACAAAAGCTAATGTACAAGGCACTTCAAAAAGAGAACTACCACTGCACCAGAAGGCCTAGTAGGACTCCAACAAGCAAGAGAGAAACAGGAAAACGTAATTTAAGAGAAATAAAAGGCTAACTAAACAAACGAGAACAACACCAAAAGAAGCTAAGGGCGAAACAAGACCAGTTAAACTCTTGCCACTCCTTGACTGCTGCATCCACAACTGACTTTGTTGGTCATCGTATTTTGAGTTTTCCAGATCCACCATAAAATATAAGCATAAAGTTGTATTTTTGTGTTTTGAAGGGGTGGTTTTCTCAAGTGTACAAATCTTCATTAAAAAAACTCATTTTAAACGGATATTTTTGTATACAAACTGCCCTTATTGCTTGTTAAGAGCACCCATAAATGCATTGGGTCTAATTTTACCTATGTGACATATAAATAGACTTAAGTCCTAACAAATGACATGGACAAACCCAAATAAAAAAAAAACTCAAAAGCTATTCAATGCAAAAATAAAATACTAGGTCTAGCATACATGCCAACCAATAAAATTGTTCTATTATGTTTCCTTTATTAAAAGAAAAATTAAATTAGGAATAAATGATGAGTGCTTGGGTTTGCACTTGGGTCCAAAATAGACCCAAGTGTGGACTTGGGTCTTTTTTTTTATTGCCACATAAGCTAGACTAGGTCCACTTTTAATTGCATTATGAAACACATTTTTATACACTAAGTCTATTTTCTACATGACATTTAATTTTTTGTTAAGAGACCTAAAGCATTAGAGCATCCACAATGTTTTGGGTTCAATCTCAAAAAGTTATATGCCACCTAAGAAATAGACCCAGTTTAAAAAAAATACATTCTCCAATGCAAATAAAAGTAGACTGAGTCCTGCTGATGTGGCAGCCATAAAAAGAGACCCGCTTTCCCCTTAGAGCATCCACAATGCTTTGGGTCTCTTGATAAAAAATTACATGCCATGTAAGAAATAGACCTAGTCTATAAAAAAATATTTCCCAATGCAATTAAAAGTGGACATGGTCTAGCTTATGTGGCAATAAAAAAAAGAGACTAAGTCCACACTTCGGTCTATTTTGGACCCAACTACAAACCCAAACACTAATCATTTATTCCTACTTTAATTTTTCTTTTAATAAAAAAAACATATTAGATAATTTTTATTGGTTGACATATATGTTAGACCTAGTATTTTTATTTTTGCATTGCAAAGTTATTGAAGTTTTTTACTTGGGTTTGTCCACATCATTTAAGACTCAAGTCCAATTATATGCCACATATACAAAAAGAGACCCAAAGCATTGTGGGTGCTCTTAAGACTATTGACCCGGTCTCCCCTTAAGTCTATTTTATTAGACTCAAGTAGAGACCTACTCTCTTTGCATTGGAGTGAATTTTGTTAATTTTACATGATTTTATCCATGTCTCTAAGACTTCAGTTTATTTATATGCGGCAAAATTAGACCCAATCCATTATCGTGACTATTGAGTTTTATTAATATTAAAAAATAAAACAATTGCGTAAATGAAAGGAGAAAGCAAATTAGTCCAATCATATCTCCACCCTCCATTGTCAATCCCCATCCCACTTCATCGAATCCTAGCCGTCCAACTCGCCCCCTGCATAAATAATCTTCTCGTTCCCTTTTTTCATTCCTCCTCGCACTCCGCAGTCGAGTTTCACAGAAACGAACATCAAATCGTTCCAATTGTGACGCACGCGCGTGAGCACCAATTCAATCTCAGACTCTGCTCTGCCCCCTCCCCCCAACACACACACTCAGCAGTAGGAGCTAATCATCGTCTACCTGTTTACGGATATATAAAATGGATTCAGATCAAGGTAAGCTCTTTATCGGCGGGATTTCATGGGAAACGAATGAGGATAAGCTGAAAGAGTATTTCCAAGGCTATGGAGAAGTTGTTCAGGCTGTTGTCATGAGGGATAAGGTTTCTGGGAAGCCGAGGGGATTTGGATTTGTTGTATTCTCAGATCCAGAGATTCTCGATAGGGTTCTTCAGGATAGCCACGTCATTGATGGCCGCACGGTGAGATTGAGAACTTAGCCTTACGTCTTTTGCTCTTATGGGTTCGTTCGTGATTGGGATAGTTTGAAGTCGTGGGTTGATTTTTTTGGCTTTTAGGTTATTGTTATACTATATCTGATGGTACTTTATACGTGTTTCTCTTATGCACACTATCAGCTCGTGTTTATTCTGTTGTCAATGTTACTATGGAATTTGCTATCTGCTGCATTATCTAGCTCTCCTTTATTTCCTCGCTCGTGTGTATGTGTGTTGGGTTGTTTTCTATGTCTTGTTGGATAAACAAGAACTTAACTTGAGGTGTTTGATGAGCCTTCGTTGTGCTAGAAACGAGTTCCTTATTTTGAATTAAATAGTTGGTGGCTGCTTGTCGTATTTGTGAATTAGTAGGTTAACTGTTATTGTTTCTCTTAATCTTGAGTTGAATGCTTTTCTTGTGCAATGTTCTGGTTTTTGTCTGGTTCTGTTTGTAGTAAGGATCTTGTCTCACCATAGTGAGTTTGGAGGGCTTTTTTTACAATATTTTTGAGATGTTCTCTCATTGTTGGGGAAATCAGAAATTTTCAGGAAGCCACTCTTAGATTATTTGACGGTTTACTGTGCTTTGAGTTTAATGGTAGTGTTTGAAATGGCATTTATCATTGTGGATTTTCTCCACATTATGTTCAACGGTAATTGTAGATATTTGTACCAGGGATCCTGCAGGTGGTATTCTTGTTTGAGTTGAACCAAAAGTAGCATCGCCTGGAGCAAATATAACAGCTTCATGTTCTGCACATTTTTCGTTTGTATCACAACTGTCTGATTGGGATTACCTTTCATAGATTTTGTTGTGAATTATATTAAATCTGGCTGGATTACTCTGACAGTATGCTTTTCAGTACTTACAAGTCTGTGGATTCTCTATGCACAAAATGAAATTAATCTTCTGATTGCTGTGTACTGAGGCATTAACTTGTGGTGATTTTATGTATTATGATTTCCATTTTCGATTTGTTTTCGACGTGTTGTATTTCAACATGTTGTACAAGGAATGTTCCTTGAAACATGTTTCTGTGCAATTCAGTGAGGTAGAGAAGTTGTGAGGATGAGGTAGAAAGGTGAAAATAGCCCTCACTTGCTACGTACTGCTGTAGTTGAATCAATTGTACTTTGACCCAGTAATCCCGAGACTTGCTTGTTTCGTGACTATTATGCGTGATATGGCTGTTTACCATTACCTTCTTTTTCTGAGCAACCTCATTATGTACTTTTCTTTTCCAAAATAGGTCGAGGCTAAAAGAGCTTTATCAAGGGACGAACAACAGGGTTCAAGAGGTGGCAACTCTGGCGGCGTACGCAGCTTTGGTGGAGGCGGCGGCAGGACAAAGAAAATATTCGTCGGTGGCCTGCCGCCAACTCTGAGTGAGGATGGCTTCCGTCAGTATTTCGAAACTTACGGAGAGGTAACTGATGTGGTAATAATGTACGACCAGCAGACAAATCGGCCACGCGGGTTCGGGTTCATCTCATTCGATTCCGAGGATGCAGTCGACAGGGTTCTGCACAAGACTTTCCACGATTTAAACGGTAAGCAGGTCGAAGTGAAGCGGGCCCAGCCCAAAGACTCTAATTCCGGTGGTGGGGGCGGACGATCCACTGGTGGCGGAGGATATCAGGGGTATGGTGGTAATTCAAACTCTTACGATGGTCGAATGGAGTCGAACAGGTACATGCAGTCGCAAAATTCTGGCAGTGGGTACCCATCTTACGGATCGTCCGGGTACAATGCACAAGGTTACGGATATGGGCCCACCAATAACTCCATGGGTTACGGTTATGGGAATTATGGTAATGCAAATCCGGGGTTTGTTGGCGGTCCACCTGGCGGAGGAGGGTATGGGAATAACCCTAGTGCTGGATATGGTGGTCCTCCTGGTGCTCAAAGAAATTCGTGGGGTTCAAATGTTCCAACTGGGTACGGCTATGGAGGTGGTGGGCCTGGCACTGGTCAGTCTCCAAGTGGAGCCTCAGGATATGGTAACCAAGCTGCATATGGTTATGGTGGATATGGTGGAAATGAGGGAGGCTATGGGAATCAAGGTGGATATGGTGCTGTTGGTGGCCGAGCAATGGGTGGGCCAAATGGTGGCTCAGCTGATCAAGCTGGAGGTTATGGTAATGCAGGATTTAATTCGGGAGGTTATGGTGATGCATCACAGGCTTCTGGTAACTATGGTGGAGGCTATGGTGGTGGTGGTCACACTCGGCCATCTCAGCAGTGATCTTCGTATGCTTGATTTCTGTTTGTGTTTTGTTCTACCGGAGCTTATGGTGTTTTTCACGTGTTGATCGTTTTCTAGTGCAGAGTCGGTGCACGTGTGCTGAAGTTAAAGGCTTGTGTTGGGTGAACTTAATCTGCTGTACCTTCTTTTTGTTTCTTTTTGTTATTTGGTATTGGTAGTCGTGAAATAAGTCGTAACTCGGGATTAGAGTTTCTGTTACTTTTTTTTGTGAACTGTAGTTTTAATTTGGCTTGCCTTGTTGCTTGAGCTGTTTTCGGAGTCCTTTGCATGTGGTAATGTTTGGGATATGATAGCTGCTGTTGAGCGTATGTGAGTTAATTGCTGGTGTTTGTTTATGATGTGACCTTAGTGGCTGAGTATTTCTCAGGTTATATGGGATGTTTAAGTTTGTTTTATATTTGATCATTATGCCTGTTATGTTGGTAAACTGATTGAAGTTCTTTAACGAGTATTACTTGGGGGGGACTGGAAGACTTGGTTAACCTCAGTGGATGAGATTTAGTTATCACACTCTCGGGTAATTTTATGTTTATGTTAGGTAGTGAAAATCTTTCCAGTAGTTAACCTCCTCTTGTTTTTCTCTAGCCAGAATCCTACTTTTCTCCTTCTCAATTTTTTGTAGGGAAGTTCTGCAATTAATACCTCTGGTAGATCAGTCTCGTAAATGGATAGCCATAATGGTAGTGGTGGATAGATAGAAAATTTTCCAGATGACATAATCGTTTTTCCGTGCATTTGGCATTTGTTTTGTACAGGCGTGGAGGATGCTCGTTCTCTAAGAGGGTAAGCACGAGCTTAATGGAGCATGTTCGTTTACAATGTGTAGCGGAACTATAGAAGTGGCAATTTACACTATTGTGAGAATGAGTTGGCTCGAAAGTGGGCAATAATGGAGGCAAGGCACTGCAGCAGGTGGAACTTGGCATATTCAATTGCCATGGGGTTATTGGAGGGTAGTTGGTTATGATATATGTGATTTTAAGTCCATCCTTTGTGGGATTTTAGCGCTAACGGTATTAGTAGATTGTCCCAAACATCTTTTCAAGTGGAAGAGAAACCAACTTTTTTCGTTTTTATTTCTTTGTCGGTTCATTGTGAGAAACTTCCCTTCTTCTCATTGATTTCAGCTGAATAATACAAATTCTGGTTTAAACTCGATTTCAGCTGAATGACCTGCCTGTTTTCATAGTAAGTTACTTTATGTTAGTTTGGTAGTACTTTTGCCAGAGTCCATTTAGGAAATGGAAATTTGTGTGAGGATTTCTCTCGAAGTCTCTTCTCTAGAATAGACTCGGCATTATCAAATGGTGGTGACATGGCATGGCCGATTTTGCCAAACCACTATGTTAAATTTGTGAAGGATGGCCGCCATTAGTGGGGGATTTTGGCCTGCAGCCTACATTAGTAAACACTGAATGGACTTTTAGAAGGAATAATCCAAATGTGTATTACTCCATAAGGGATTGAATCTTTAAAAGTATTATGGAATTGAGTGCCAAGCTGCTCGTGTGAATCTAGTAGTTGGTAATGTTCAGAATTAATGTTTCAGCTACAGAGTGGATGATAGAAGTGGGTGTCTGAAACTTGGTTTAATGTTTTAGGGCTTTAACCATTTTCTATGTGACTGCCCATTTGTTTTAACTCTTTGTCTGAATTCCTTGATTTGACATCTGCTGTTATTTGGTGCTTGTATGCTGATTCGGATGAGTTCATTTTTTGGCTAATAATAATGTGAGCACCATCTTTTCTGTTGGCTTTTTCTATGTCCATCGGGACTCTGTGTTCTCAGGTTGAAACTGAACAAAAAAGTTGAGCTATGGCGGACAGGAAAGCTGTCCAAGTTTACCTGTTCATTAGCGAGTTAGAGAAATGCATTTTGTCTTTCAACTTCCCATTGGAATTACTGTTTAGGTTTTATAATTTCTGGAGCCTCAACATAAATGGATTTTCTTGAGATGTATGTGAGTATTTGCATATATTGACTTAACAATTATTGTTAATTTGTTACAAACAGAAAATTTTCTGTCCATGACAAACAATACATACAAGGTTAAGGAAGTTACATAGTATAATAATAAAAATAATAATAATAATAATACACTTGTTGGTATATTGCCGTTGGATTAGAATGGTGCGCTTGTGAGTGGATCACAGCCAAATGCAGCAACATCTCCAGGTCGACTGAATACAATCTGAAACAAAAACCAAATTAGTTTATATGTGTTATCTTTTTATCAAGTTTATGATGTCATTATTAACTTCAATCTCGGGCATCACAAACCTGGTAAGTTCCAAGAACACGCAATTTGAAACCAGCAGCACAGTAGTCAAAGTAATATTCCCATGTCCGCATGAACTTGTCATCAAATCCCAGAGCCAAGATTTTACTAGAAAGACAAAATTCTGGTTAGTACAAATTAACTCTTGCCATGTCCATATGAAATCTAACTAAGACTTTCATTCTTACTTTTGATTTATGAGGAGATTTTCCCTCCAACACCTTAACGTCTGATAGTAATGGATTCCGATGTCTTCCAAGTGCGACACACTGCAGACAAAAGAGCATTCATGGTGAGATGTTATTATGCTTTCCATCTCTTTGTTATTTTTGATACCTAATAGAAAAATAAATAAATAACTAAGGTTTGACCTTAATCTTGATGCAGTAGCCATGGCAGACGTCACTCGGCTAAGTGAAGGCAAGCATCCACCAGGGAATATGTATTCTTTGATGAAGCCTTGGCTAAGCCTGTATTCGTCGTATTTCTCATCGGCTATCGATATGAACTGAACAAATTTTTGACGAGTTTTTAATTAATATATGAATTAATGTGTAATAGAAGATATCAAGCTTTGTAGTTGCTTTTCTGACCAATGAAGATTTGTAGTTTCTTAGTTACCTGAAGAACAAAGAGACCATTATCTGCTAATGCAGTTTCGCAGCATCTGAAGAATTCCTCCATGTACTCATGCCCCACAGCTTCCAACATCTCACTGACAAAATTCAACATTTCGATTTTAAAATCGTAAATTTCTATTTTTTGCAAAAAAGGACCATTTTTTGTAAAACTTGTTATAAAGAGAGCTCACCATGATATGATCCTATCGTATTTGCAACCTTCAGGCAATTGTCGATAATCGCATAAAAGGAACTTGATTTGATCCTGAAATAACAATCAGTTTATTATAAATGAAAGCCTGATAAAGTTGTTTGTAATATCGAAAAGAATATAAAACAAGCAAAACAATATTTACCTGCAAGCCAGCTTCTTTCACTTTCAATTCTGCATATTGAAGCTGTTTTTCGGATAGAGTTATGCCAGTGTATTTGCATCCTGTTCTTTTGACAATTTCAATTGCCAAACTTCCCCAACCGCATCCAATCTCTAACACGTGATGCTCCTTATTAATTCTTGCCTGTAAGATAATAATACGAAAGACATTAGCTTCGATTATATTATTATATTTTTAGATAAATTGAGGTTCCACACAAAGTTTCACCTTCTCAATCAACATATCGATTTTCCTAAGCTGCGCGTTCTTCAAGTCTTCATCGGTAGTCTTTCCAAGGGCACAAAAGTAAGGTAAGCTCCTTGTAAAAATATTAAGTGCATATTCTACATTTTTTTTTTTTTTCTTCAAAAGAATTTGTACCAAGACAAAGATGCTAACCTTAAACACTGCGCATGAGTAGGCCATACTTTCATCCAAGAACAGAGAGAAGAGCTCATTGCTCTAGCAAATAAACATGTAAAACAATTATCAATTTCTGTATCTACACATTTATGGATTACATATTGAAAGTTTAAGGATGCAATAAACCCTTACAAGGTCATAATGTTGTGAGATGTTTTTGCGCGCTTGAGTTAGCGTATTCTGTCTCAAAACATGTTTATAGAAATATTTCGCGGATGATAGCACGGAAGTGAAAAGCAATGGTGTCCACCATCCCCTGAAAACATATATATAAATATGCATATTATTTTTAAGTACATATTAAACGACATCAATACTGAAATTTACTACACTTGCCTTCTCTTCGAGTTGGAAGTATTTAGCTCTGTATTTGCTATAAACAACTGCAGAAATACAAATTGAAGGACACTCAGTGTTAGAAGATGACCATAATAGATACTTTATTTGCATTAGCACATGTCAAAGAATGCATACCATGAAAAGGTTGAGAAGGCCTTTCTTCTTGTCCACGAACGTGAAGTCTCCATTAATGTAGGCATCAGCAAGGCCTAAATCACTTTCTTTTGCAATCTATCACAGACATTACAAGTAAATTAAAGGATGAACAAATGCAAACTGAAAGGTATGTTAAGACTTGAAATTATACTCAGAAAAATCATAAAAAAATACCTTCCAGTAAAATTGGGGTGTATGTATCCTCAAAGAGACTTTTAAAGTGCACGATTTATCACTTCCTTCAAAGGTGAAAATCGTGCCCCCTTCTTCCAGTAAACTGTTTTAAAATTTTGTTAGTTCTCAGCAAGAATACATAAACAAAAGAGCTAATAAATCATTTCTTTTCATAATCTTACATTAAACAGCCGGTAGAGATAAATTGTTTCAAGAACCGAGTCACGAGAAGTCGGGCCCCTGCTTCAGACCAAGATGTTGTCATGTACTTAGGATTTTGTTGAAGTGTGAAGTCTTTTCTCAGCAAACTGTTTGCAGCTAGTGCACCAGCCTAAGGATCAATTTTAAGTTATTACAGAATAAAAAAAAAAAAAAATAGATGTCATCAAGTTATTTATAAAGTTAGTAGTTATAAAAGTACCTTTAGTCCATCCTCATGGAAGCCATAGCCTAAAGAAATACACAACATGAAGAAAAAAAAGTAAGTTCACGTGGATTAATTCATCAGAACAAATGATAATTATGTGTTGTTAAATTTTTCAATGCACCTTGAAATGCTCCACAAAACCATATTCTTCGTTTGCCTTGAATGCAATTGAGCTCAGCTGAAGCTTTTGTTGCGCCAACTGATGGAATTGGGTGGCTAGTCGACCACTTTAGCACTGTGTTTTCCGGTTCGTAAGGTGGATTTAGGGTCGAGAAAAAAGGAAGTCCTTCTTTATCAATATTCTGAAAGTTTTTTTACCCGAAATCGAAGCATAAGGTTACTAACGAATTATAAATTCAATAGATGAAAGTTAATATGGACGCCATCATGCCTAAGTTCACTTTCTACATGCAAGTTATGCGGAGAATACGCCAACACTATGTTATTTTGACAGACTAAAT